ATCCCCATTAAGGAAAGAATTAGTGTTAAATTAACTGGACTACACACAAAATATTAAATTTTATAATCCATCTGGGATTCACAGTCCTGCTTTTAAAAAACAATGATGTTAAAAAAATACCTTTTTCTTTTTTTTTTCAACTTGATTTTCTCTTTGCTTTTTGCTTTTTTCTTCTCCTCTTCTTCATTTACTCCTGTGTATTGAGGGGAAAGAATCAGGACACCATGAATCTGCACACTAATATGGTATGTATACAGTTTTTCCACTTTGGTTACTGGTTGATGAATTTTATTGGTTAGGATACTGCACTTCTCTTGTAACAGTTTCTCCTTTCTTGTTTTTCAAATTGAGGTATAAATTGACATATAACATTGTTTATTTTCAGGCATACAACATAATGGTTTGATATTTGTACACATTCCAAAATATTTGCTGTAAGTCGAGTTAACATCTGTCACCATGTTACATACATACCAACAACATTTTTTTCTTGTGATGAGGACTTTTAGGATCTACCCTCTTAGCAGCTTTCAAACATACAATACAGTACTATTAACTACAGTCAACATGCTATACATTACAACCCCATGACTTATTTATAACTGCAAGTTTGTACCTCTTTTATTTATTTTTTAAATATTTTGTTTTTAAATAATCTCTCCACCCAACATGAGGCTCAAACCTACAACCATGAGATCAAGTGTCCATATTCTATCCACTGAGCCAGCCAGGCACCCCGGTACTCCTTGACCAGCCTTATCACCTGCCTCTAACAACCACAAATCTTTTTCCTTTATCTCTGAGCTTGGCTTTTTTATGTGTTTGTTTCTTTTTTAGATTTCACATATAAGTGAAATCATATAGTACTTGTCCTTCTCTGACTTATTTCACTTAGCTTAATACCCTCAAGGTCCACTAATTATTTTTATTTATTGAGAAGCTTATAAAAATATTACATGCTTTTTATAAAAATTTCAACTACTACTAGGTACATTAAATAAAAAATTCAAGTACTCCACTGCTAATTCCTACACCGAATCAATGTCAACAGTTTGGTGGGTACTATTTCAGGTCTTAAAAAACAAAACAATACAATCAAATACAGCCTTTTTTTTTTTTTTTTTTTTTTTTTTTTTTTTTTTTTTTTTTTTTTTTAAAGTAGGCTCCATGCCTAGCCTGATGGGGCTTGAACCCATAACCCTGAGATCAAGAGTTGCATGATATACTGACTGAGCTAACCTGGTACCCTTCAAATACAGGTGTTGAAATTTTTCTTTTTCAAACAAAATGAGGATTATGGTATTCTAGGATGTTAAGATCACAGGACTGTAAAGAAATCTAATAATATTTATGTCATTGGTACCCTAGAAGGAAAGAATATATACTACTCTCTAACTTGTTTCTGAAATACACAATTTGGTGTGTTTTCTGTTAAGCTTGCTCTCCATACAACCAAATATGCACATACAATCACTTATACAAAATAGTTACAAATAAGTCCCAAGTTTTTCTCTTTTTTGAAAGATGGATAAGTGATATGGCATATAAATACAGTGGCATGTATAATATTTTGCAACTTATTTCATATTTGTCAAAAATCAGTTGCACAGAAAAAAAGTAAGTTGGACTTCTGCTTCTGGGAAGAGGAGCAAGTGTACTTTTCCTATTTCTCCCAGTAAGTTCAACTAAAAATACCAGACATTGTAAAAACAAACATAAAAACTGAAAAGTAGCGGTCCCTGGGTGGATCAGTCGGTTGAGTGCCCAACTCTTGAATTCGGCTCAGGTCATGATCTCACAGTTCATGGATTTGAGCCACCTGTCAGGCTATGAGCTAGCAGTGCGAAGCCTGCTTGGGATTCTCTCTCTTTCTGCTCCTCCCCTGCTTGTGCTCTCTCTCTCAAAATAAATAAGTAAACTTAAAAACAACAACAACTTTAAAGTAGAAACAAGACAGACTAGCTATGGATCTTGAAATCTAGAGAAAGACACGGGAGTGAGTTCTGTGGAATTCATGCTTCCTTTAGCCCAGACTTGGAGCTGAAGAAGCTGGCAGCTTTGGCAATGTCAATACAGGTACAGATAAAAAGATTTCTCTAGCCTAAAGACCAAAACAGAGACAGCCTAGTGACAGATAGGTTGTAGGTAACAACTGCCCTTACTCAAGCTGAACACCACAGAAAAAACTGGCACAACCCCCACCCATGTCAGCAGACTCTGAGTGAGGAACCTAGACATTCCCCCTTATCAAGCTGTGATAAGATCTCCCAATTCCTCAGCATGAGTAGTCTAAGTAGGTAACCAGGACCTTTATCACTAACCAGTAAAGAGATCACTAATAGTGTCAATAAAGACCACTTGGGAAGCCTTGACTTCTGCTGCCAGCCAGTAGTAATGAGGTACCCCTCCCATCTATGCTGAGATGATGTCAGAATATATCTAAGAAAGTCGGGGCACTCATCATCACCCAGTAGTAAGTAACAAGACCACTCCCACCATGGGATACCAATGGGGAGGCTGGAACTCATCCCCTCACCCAGCAGTAACAAGAAGCCATGACCACTTTGAGTGTTGGCAGAACCTAAGTGGGGAAACAGAACCTCTGTCTCCCCCTGGCAATAAAAAGTCACTTTCTCTTCTGGGGTGGTACCAAAGAAAATCATATAAAAGACAAGGTTTAAGGAAAGCCAACGTTTCATAATACAATATAAACATGTCCAAATTTTGGTTGAAAAGAACTCATCAAAGTCCAGAGATCTTAAATTGAATGAAAAATGAAACAATCAATATAACAACACCACAATGAGATTATTTTTAAAATAATCTAAAAAAGATTTTAAATAGTCATCATAAAAATGTTTCTAAGAAACAAAATGCTTGAAAGAAGTGAAAAAAATATGAAAGCCCCCCAAAATGGGATAAAATCCAAAGAACCAAATAAAAATTTTAGAACTAAAATGACAATAAATGGAATTAAAACACTCAGTGGATGGGCTCAATAGCAGAATGCAAAGCAATGAATAGAAATATCACTGAATGGGAAAACAGAACAATAGAAATCACCCAATCTGAGCAATGGAGAAGAAACAGATTTAACTAGAAAAGGAATGAGACTTGGGGATCTGTGGGATAGTAACACAAGATACAATATTTGTGTCACTGGAGACATAAAGAGTATAAAGAAGGAGGGGCTTAAAAAGTACTTGAAATCCATATCGAGATATGAAAATTAAACTTTTGAAAACTAATGAAAAAAAAATCTTGAAAACAGCCAGAGAAAAATAATGTATTACTTATATGAATGAAACAATTAGAATGAAAGCAGATTTCTTATTAGAAAGCATGGAAGACAGAAAGAAGTGGCCATTTTTTAAATGCTGAAAGAAATGTCAACCTGGAATCCTCTACCCAGTAAAAATATTATTCAGGAATGAAGGAGAAATTAAGACATTCTCAGATAAGGAAAAAGTAAAAGGATTCGTCACCAGCAGACAGACCCTAAAGGAATGGCTAAAGAAAATTCCTTAAATGGAAAGGAAATGATAAAAGAAGGAACACTGGAACATCAAGAAGAAAGAATAGAATAAGCAAAAACCTGAGTACAACAGGCTTTCCTTCTCTTGAGTTCCTAAATTATGTTTGATTGTGGAAGCAAAAACTACACCATTGTTTCATGAGGTTTTAAATGTATGTAGAGAATATATTTACGACAAGTGTATTGTAAAGGAAAGAGGGTAAAGGGACATAAAGGGAGGCACGGTTTCTACTCTGATTGTCCTGGTAAAAAGACAATACCAGTAGATTGTGGTAAATTATGTATATATAATCTAATACCTAGAGCAACCACTAAAAATGCCATATAAAATATCATAGAAAAATTTAAAAAAAAAACCACTATGGACACAATGTGTCTTTGACACTACAGAAAAATTATATGCAATTCTATAGGTGTTCCAGTGACACTACAGATAAAACTAAAAAATGTTCAAGCAGTAATCCACAGGAAGGCAGAGAAAAAAAAAACAAGAATGAAAAAAGAAGAATAAAAAACAGAGTGAACAGAAAACAAATAAAAAGTGGTAGGATTAGCTCTAACATATAAAAAATTACATTAATGTAAAAAAATACCAATTAAAAGAAAGTGGTTGGTAAAGTTGATTGAAAAATATGATTCACCTATACACTGCCTACAAGACTCCCACTTCAAAGAAAAAGATATAGACACACTGAAAATAAAAGGATAGAAATGGATATTCCAAACAAGCATTATCAAAGGAAAGCTAGAGTGACTGTATTAAGATCAGATAAAATAGACTTCAGAAAAAAGAAAATTACCAGTGAGAGAAAGGGCCAAAATAATGATAAAAGTTTCAACTCACCAATAAGACATATCCTAAATGTGTATGCACCAAACAATAGAGCTAAAAAATACATGAAGCAAAACTGAGAGACCTTAAAGGAGAAACAGACAAATCTACAATTCTCTCAACAATTAATAGATACTACACATAAAGTCAGCAAGAATGCAGAAGAACTCCACAACCATCAAACAATAGAATCTAAACAAGATTTAAAATCACTCTACCCAACAAGAGTAGAATACACATTTTTTTCAAGTACCTACAGAACATAGACCAAGACAGAATATATCCTGTGTCACAAAACAAATCTTAACAAACTTAAAAGAACTGAACTCATACAGAGTTATGTCTCTGTCCTTAATGGAATCAAATGAGAAATCAGTAACAGATAACAGGGCAATTTCTAAACAGTTGGAAACAAAACAACACTTTTAAATAATCCACTGGGCAAAGAGGAAGTCTCAAGGAAAACAAAACACACTTAACTGAATGAAACTGATATATATTAAAATTTGTGTAACACAGCTAAAGCAGTGCTGTGAGGAAAATTTATAGCACTAAATGCTTAGGATAGAAATGAAGAAAAGTTTCAAATTGATTATATCTTAACTTTGATCTCAAGAGCCTAGGGGGAAAAAGCTAAATAAATCCAAAGCAAGTACAAGGAAGAAAAATAATAAAGCACAAGAATTAATAAAATTGAAAACAGAACAAAAAAATTAGAGAAAAAGAATGAAACAAGTAGCTGGTTCAATAAAATTGACAAATCTCTAGGAAAAATGTGAAAGAAAAAAAGACACAAATCATCAATATCAGAAATGAAAAAAGGGTT